GTCGTGGACTTCGAAGGGTTCTCAGCGACCTTGTGAGTAGTTTCCTTTATGCATATTTTCAGCTAATCCCGAGCTAACAGTGTGTATCTACTGTGATTCGGGTGGATTCGTACCTCTTTATTGTCCATCAGCCGTTCTTGACCAACTGAGGCAACGGTTGAAGTCATTTAGTCGTATACCATTGAGCTCGAGAAAGCCCAGCGGTTAGGTTGCGAACTCACCAAGTGTGAAGGCTCTGGTTCGAATCCAACCTCGTTATCTCCATTACTTCTGTTATGTCTGGCCAATCTGACTGCAACTTCGCCCTCGTGTTTCCTTCAGATGGCATGGTAGTTAGGCACCGAGAGGGCGCTACAGCTGCTGTCCAAAAATGAAGTAGATCTCAATGACAAACCTAGTGAACATCACAGTTCGTTCAGCTGTAGAACTCCTGCGGTGCCATGCAATCTGAAGGAAACACGAGGGCTTGCTTACTGCCAGGTTTCACAGGACTAGAGAGGAGCAGTCGATATCCAGACATCGGGTTCGAATCCTGGATCTTCTGGACAGTAAATTCGCCTCTAACTACTGAGCCGTCTCGCTCCAGATGCTTGGCCTTCCAACTTGCGGCGATGAGCTTACGCAGGCTACCAGATGAAAGTTATCTTTTTTTCAGATCCCCAGCGAGGGAAGATCTAACACAAGTCGTTCGAATGGTAGTCTCTCATCTACACGGCGAATCAGACATAATTCTGAGGAGGTCTGTTGACTGGACAAAACAAATGTTATACGAAATTCGCCCCGTGTGTGTGTGTGATCCTCCACGTTTTATTCTTGTGTATGTTCACATCAGGTTGGGCTCAACCTCGACCGATGTAGTCCTTGACTTTGTAAGTGTAATGTCTTTAAACACGCTTTAATCCTGTTCGCACGACGGTATGTGCATAAACAAATACCGGACGCTGAATAAACAGACAAATGTACATGCTTTCCACGAACCAGCACGACTTTTTCTAGCCAATAGGAATGATTTATCGAAGGCTTACAACATACAGGGTGCCTACCTGTCCAAAATTATGAAATGTAGCTCAATTTGGACTCAACTGGGATAAACTTTTGTGACGAGTGAAACAGGAAGATAATTCAGACTAGCTATAGTAGACTCCCTAGTTTGTTTATGGTGCTCTGTGAATTCAAGAAATGTGAGGAGAAAGGAGTTACGGGATAGAAGAGCAGAAATCAGACAGACTGTCATTAAACTGTCACAATGAAGGAGCGCAACACTTGGAACGGAAAATCACTCACTGTCCTGGAATGTGGAAGGAAACAAAAGGCACGTGATGATGTCGTAAGCCTGGTCCGTAAGACATTCTGGATTCAGACAAGCTCGTTTTCTGTGTTTCGATCGGTCACTTGAAACCGAATGACTGTGTAAAACTAGTTGAAGATGAAAACGCTGGCATTTTCGGTTGACTGTCGGCAACCGCGCCGTTAGTGGCATTTACATGGTGAATTCATAACACCTCCCTTGCCACAGATTTTAGAAAACTCGGCAAAAGTGCAAGCAAGGTTAAATTCTAAAGTTCATCTAGTTAACGATACAAAATGCCCCTTATCCACGGACAACTAAGCGTATGAACTGTAACGTGCCTGATCATAGCCAAATCGTCTGGATGAATACTACGCACCTGTCAACAGCACAGAACGGAAGTTGTTAAACTGAAATGAGTACCCACCATAGCACTGGGTGCACAAAAAACGGATCATGTTCCCACCTGGATAGACAGGATGACTTATCGTCCGCATAGTCTGATAATTCCCACTATGCTCGATCTGCTATTGAATGAGACTGTGCATATTCTAAGGTCGCGGGACGGTAGTTGGGTTGAGTTAGATGACTTGTGAGACCTCACAAGCCATGCCGAATAACTGTTCCGGAAACTGGGCTTTTGTCGTGCGTCCTAGATGCGGCGGACTTGGGTGGACTGCCGCGGCGTCACTCGTCACAATGATAAATAATAATAATAATAATGGCAATAATCAATGTAATTATGCCAAGATTTATTTGCTGGCGTCCTGATCATCACTCCAAAAAACGAGAAATAGTTTCCTTCTGGACCTTCAGAGAGTATTAGAACGAGAGTTTGCAAGAAATGGTAATCAGACAACCTTTCCACTTGACCATGCGGGCTAGCAAGGCTTTGCAATTACTGAGCAGTCTTGGACTAGATGAACGGTGCTCGGTGTCAGGATGTCCTTCAAAATGGTTTATAGCAGCTGAAAAAAGGGACTCACGTTGATGTAGATCACGATTTTGTCGGGTATCCCAAAGTCTTTGGAAATTTAGGTCTTTGAAAAGTCCATTAATCGACTTTGGACGCTGACCTATTCTCAATTTGAAATTCGGTCAGAACACCCCCCTTAGAAGGTGTGAAAAACCGGTGGCCCATGTTTTTCTGTCCTGTGACAAGATGTTTTGTCAAATTGGAAGACTGCCCGATGAAAGATCCTAATGCCGTCCATGAGAAGTAGGCGTTACTTTTCGAGAAATACACTCATTTGTAAATCAATTTGGTTTTCACGAGAGACTCAACTGAATCTCTCTTTTATGATATTCTACAAAACCAAAATGATTTGCAAATAAGTGGATTTCTCGAAAACAGTGCGATTTGGGTTCAAGTAGATCATAAGGTTGGCGGAAACTCGGAGACTGCGCTTACCTGATGAGCCCCAAGAAGGGCAAAACCGGTCGTGGGCTATCGAAGAGTTTTCATCAACCTTGTGAGTAGTTTCCTTTAGGCGTTACTTTGTCAGGTAGCTGATGAAGTGTTGAGAAGGTGCATCGTTAGATGCCGTATAGAACCAGTCATTTCTTTCGCTATATTTCCACTTTTTGTGGATGAATTTAGTGCTTGTTGGTCAGTGTCTGAATCGGTTAAAAAACCGAGCCGTGTCAGGTCTCCACTTCCAACAGCTTCATCATTCAGGTGAGCACAAAACGAGGCACTGAACCGAACTGCCGTTCAAGTTAAAGATTCATTCTCTCGTAGACTATACCTATATGGTGAGCTCAGGAAAAAACGATATAGCTAGTGGCTGTTAGTAAATTTCGATAAATCGTTCCGCTGACACTTGTATGGTCTGGTCATAAGCCTATAAAAGCCTGGGTTTGAAAATTTCCACTGGAAACGAAAAATATGATCATGCTTAAACACAGTCCATCAGTTCACCGAGTTTAAGCTTCAGAAACAAGTTTTTAGAACTGGTCAGTCAAGGAAAAAAAAGAGACCCGGGGTGATATGTCCATGACTTACCCTAGAATAGCACCCCAAGCCCAGGGCCAGCCGATTAGAAACCGTGTGACAATCATCAGCGTGAAGGCCTCAGCAATGCAGGGAATGAAAGCAAGTCGAAAGACGCTTCCGAATACAGCCCGAAGAGTGGTCGGATCGATGCCCAGACCGGCACGAGTTAGAATGGTAGTGAGTGCCAGCTGACGCAAGGTCCCAGACAACTCCGGGTTTACCACCAGCAAGGCAGCCAACTGGACTTTGTAATCTCTAACGGGAAATAGGGCATTGTCGTCGGAGTGTTTCGGAAAATTGTGTCCAACTTGACTGAGTGGGTAGGATCCGTTTGGTAAAAGGCCCTCGTGAAAGATGCGATACGGTAGTGCGAAAGCGCCAATATTCCGTAAGGCCAGACCGCCAACCAGCATTCCTGAAATGTGTATTAGTGAAACAACATAAACGGTAGATCATTTCAACAGTTGAAAACGACAGACAACCTTTACGAAATTTCCACATTCGCTTGATCAACATATCACTGACAGTGGTGGAAATTTTATCCACACCTGCCTGGATAGCTAGAGCTTCATAGCCAAATACGTTTTCCCGAGTGAAAAACTTTGGCCGCCTGATCTCAAAATCAACAGCTTTGGGTCTTCTACACGCGTTTGGTGGCAAACCCTGAACTACTCATCACTCGAAATTTCGAAAATCAAAATTATACTCAAGCAGAAATATTTCTTTCCCACATTTTGCCGAAATTTCAAGTGGACAATGTTGTCATAGGTATACGTCGATGTTGCCAGAAAGATGAACCTACAACTGAAGAATTCTTTTATCGAACGGTTCATTTGGCTCCAAAACATTTCGTTTCTGTCATACGTTGTCCCGTCCTGCATTGTTTTGTGGATGCGAGAATTGGAAATATCTTATCCTGGGTGTCTAAACGTCGCATTTAAGATGGGATGTATCGATCGTGTCTTCAATGAAGTAGTTATCGGGACATGGTACAACGGGTCATTTATCTCCAGCATCACCGACCGTGGTCGCTTTGCCTCCACAAGTTGGATGATGAGCTTGCGAAATCCAGATTCCTTTTGGGACTGGCGTCGTTGCAGTATGGGTCCCATGAACACCTCATTGTCTGATGTCAAATTGGATGTCGACCAGCATTCTATTTACATTCAACGCTGCTCGAAACAGGTCTGGGCTGCTGTTTTTGCAGATCTTGCCGACGAATCGTCGGATATTGGATATTGATGTGCTTGGTATCTATTGACATGGCGCCGCCTCTCACTGAGGTATACCATTAGAAGAAACTTTTTAGGTTAAAACAGGCCGTACGGCGACGCGGGAACCTGAACAGAGATCTGGTTATCCACACGATGTAACCCCTTCGCTGAAGATCTTCTGCGACCCTGTCAGGATAGGCAACATGTACCCCTACACAGAGATCCTGTATACCAAAGATCATTCTCTTACAACTAAGTCTAGCGGTGGTCACCTCATATGTTCTAGTGGTGTGAGAGTCATCAACATAATGTGCTGTGTGCTCGCCTAGCTCTCATTTTCCGCCATATTGTACAGATGAATCTGTTGGTCGTCACTGCGCAGACTTGCCCCTCACCTTCAACGCATGATTCTTAGTTAATTAGATACCCTCACGTGTTTTTATCAATGTCACTAGATCATATGTCCATCGTTTTTTTCAAGCAGGCATTTTTCAAAATATTTAACTCACACTTTGCTCTTCTCCTTTAATAATTTGTATATTTGTGGAACCACTTGCTTCTCTAATTAGGAATGATTTGAAGACTGTTCAACTTCTCGTCCAGCTAGCAAAACCTCCTCTTGTTGCCCATAATTGTAGCCCTCGGATGATACTGGAAATGGTTTTGGGGCCATACCACACCGGAATGCTACTGGTGGTGATCTAATGGGACTAGGCCTACTTGACTGGTGTAAAATTTCGTATACATGTTGTATAAAGACTCTCTGTATCCTTGTTTCAGTAGGCCTCTTCTGTATTTCAGAATGTAACGGATACGGGTGAATGCTGCTGGACGATTCTAACCTGTCTTGCAGTTCAATCAGTTCACACACGAACATAAAGCCAGTGCAGGCACACATATTCGAGACAAAACTGACAAATACAGGCCCCCTATTAAATGATCCAAGTACAATATGAGTGAATTCATCGATGTTCTAAAGCTGTGTATCTTTGACATTTCATCATTTGTAATAAAACAAAGTCAGATTTCATATCAAAAAGCCAGATTGGGAAGACCACTTACTGTGGAGATTTCGTCCTGCAAGTAGTCAGTCTATGCTGAAAAGCTGAGAAGCTGCTTCATCTTTATTGGGAATTATCTGCAGTGCGCATCTCACGAAACGCCGGAGAGTCTCGAACTACTAGCCAGGAGGTCGCGGGCTCGAGACTCTTCGGAGTTTTGTGAGATGCGCACTGCTGATGATTTTCAATAAGGATGAAACAGCTGTACAGTGCTTCTCGGCTTTTCAGCATAGATTGGCTTCAATTACAGGACGAAATCTCAACAAAAATTCCAGATCTCCTCACACTACCAACAGACCACTTACTGTTTCATACCGCCGTCTACCTGTTTTGACAATGGAGGCTAAGCGAGATCTATTACTCGCGTGTTTAATGTCAAAACATCGGCTCTGGTCTGGACCACAGAAAGGTCATGTATCGCTGGTATACATTTTTGACTAAAGAGCATTTGGAAGTAGCCCGAAAACCTAAACGGGGTCTTTTTGGAATAGGCGCTGTTACAAGGGGGTGGTTCCCGGAAATGCCGGGCGAGTTAAGCAAACTATAAAGGTCGATGCTAGCGTGACTTTGGAGTGTTTTTTCAAAACCAATGGACATAAATTTTCCAAACACGTGACTATCTTTGAAATCAGCTGATTTGTGCTGTTTTAACGAGGACTGCGTGTTCAAAATATCGAGGACAATCGGGAAAATGCATCGGTCTTCCAAAAAAAAAACAGAAAAACACAAATATGCATCAGTTTCTGCTTAGGTAGACTTTTATGTAACAAAACGGCACCAGAAGAGACAGTCCAGGAAAATTCCACTTGGCGGTCGCATAATCGTCTTTTGAGAATAGCCGTATTTTCAAGTTTCAAAACAAACGCACAGGGTTTCTGTTTTCTGTGACTTTTGAAAAGGGCAAATACCAGTTTCCCCATGATGAATAAACACCCATACTTCTATTTTTTGTTTTGCAAACAAGGCTATACTAGATCAACCGAGATTACACGAGGCGGTGTGCAATTATCAATGAAATCGCCTGGGTCTAAAAGTACAAAATCCAAGTAGAGTTAGATCCAATTAACCACCCCACCCCCATCCCCAAACCATTGTCCCAGCACCCTTGGACGAACACAGGTGGACGAAATCTGTGAACGACCCCAAGAGGAATTTTCCATTAAGGTGTCCCAGACTGAAAAAGCAAGGACGAAAAATCCGTGTTCATCGACGAACCCCCCCCTAACCAGTCTATCGTAAATCTTAGTCATCCCCACTAATCAATAAAGAGGAACATTAGACTGAACACCCAGCACTGATCCTGTCACTGGTCATAAGGAATCTCACGGATTTGTTCCCTGACTGCCTTAAAACCCAATCAACCTACTTACTTACTTTATTGGCCTGACGAAGTTTTTGTGTCAAAAGCGAGACGTTGCCCAGCAATAAATCCACCGATTGTTTACCAACCCTCCCCCTGAAACGATGACTTCCCAATCGGTCCCAAACATTTTCCAATTGAGGCTATACTAGTCCACGAAAAGCCCTTTCACAAGTAGTTTCGTCGACCATGCTCTTGTTGCAGACAGCGAGTCCAGTGATGGCGATAGTTCCACCGTGCGACTTCCTCAAGCCAAACCAAGTTTTGTCGAACACCAACTATTTTCACAGACTAACAGCTGCGCCGTTGCACACAAGTAATAAACGTTTGCGAGAATGTAGCTGAAATACCAACTTTTTCAGCGCGGTTAATAAACAGGCGTGTGGGTTGAACATTACAGGGGGTTTGTCGTTCTTGAAAACTATGATAAATGTTTTCATAATTAACCTGGAGTGCAGAAAATGTGACAAATTGTTCAAAAAGCACCCTCATGACAATCGTGCAGGTCGTGGAGCAATAAGGTTCAGCAAAAACCTACCGTTTACACCAAAAACGCGAATTTTCGAATCAATCATTTGTTCTTTTTTGGATGTGTGGTGTTAGGTGAATTATGGTTGTCACGTCATGAATTTCAAAGACGAAATCGATCCAACAATCAACAGTCCCGTTTCAACCTTGAAGTGCAAAACTCCATTCACAGCAGGTAACTCGTTGGAAAATAGTTTTGAAATGGCATTCGAGTTATGTAGCTTTTCCGTCCACTGACACGCTTGTGTTGACGGATCAACTACAGACTCAATGTGTAGTAACGGTATTTTCCTCAGCTTAGTTCTTGGTCTGAGCCTCCCAAGCTAGCGTTCACGTCAAAACAACCACCAAAGGTGCACAAGGTCTATTAATGCCCAAAACGAAGTCAAGAACAGTTGTACAGCGCTTCGTATATGTAGCGTAAGCGGTCATAACCTTCTGGAAGTTCTGACGCGTTCTGGATGCGCCATTGGCAACCGGCATTTGGCCAATACTTGGGAATGATTGGCTGTTGGGCCCAGATTGTTGACCAATCAGATCTCGTCTTGATGCCGGACCGGCAAGCATCCCGAATTCTGGGCCAACCTCGAGTGGGCCAGGCTTATCGGCCGTAGCAGCGCCTAAAGACGTGCGGTATAGTGTGATGCGTGTGGATTATGCACAGCTATCGTCCCCCCTATCTTCTCGAATCATCGGCGAACGAAAATGTGGCAACTATGTGGAAAAAATACACGGTTATGAAAGCTGATGTGGTCGCATGTATCATTCACCTAAGTTAAGTCGTGAATAAACCAAGGGGATCCGTTTCACATCTTTCACGTTCAAACCAAGTTAGACCCAGACTTTGCTTACTTATAACATCAAGGGCAAATGTGGGTAAATCATGTGGTTATCGCTTCGGTCTTGATACCGCTCTATATGTATGTTTTAGGTCCAGTCTTAACAATACTAGAGAGACGGTGGGAGTCAGTTAAAAGGCTGAAGTATTTACCGTTCTCGACTAAAATAAGCTGATTTGGTTGAATTCGTGAACAACTTTGTCATGTAACTCTCCATTCTCCAAATATTCCGCGGAACTTGAGAATCACGCCATATTTTTACCATATTCCAGTTTGGAGTTGCACGTAAGATTCCTACCAAACGCAACGCTTTCAACAGTTCCTACGTTTCTGGAGCATCAATTCATTAATCACTTTAGCGACCCCAGGTAACCAGTCCCAATATTTCATGACATAACGGTGCAATCTGCTGAGAAAAAACCGAAAGCCTCCAGCGTTTTCCTGCTACCAGACTGAGATTTTGAATTCAAACGTTCGTACACAATGGAGTTAGGTTTCGTGCCAGTCACAGAATCGTTTCTCGCTTAAATCTATTTCTGACCTCTTGACTGCTCAGAAGCTAGACAACACTTTGGTCTTCACAGGTATTAGGCTGTGTTCAACGGGAGGTCATGATAGAGATCCGCGCAGCGGCTTTCTTTCTTTGGGTATATTTGTAATGTACTACTCATAAGGCTGCTGAAAATCCGTCGACATTCCACGACTGGTTTTGCCCTTTTTGGAGCTCATCAGGTGAACCTCTCGAAAAACCAATTAGTTTGCAAATGAGTGTGTATTCGCTGATTTCGTGCAATTTTATTTCAAGGCTGACGGAAACTCGGGGACTGCGCCTACCTGGTGAGCCCAAAAAAGGGCGAAACCGGTCATGGGCTGTCGACGGATTTTCAGCAAACTTATGAGCAGTACATTACAAACAAAGATACACATGTATCGCGATAACTCGAATATCGTAGCGAGTGAAACATAAGGTGGCCTGGTGCAGCACATTCAATCGCCTGGAAACATCAAAACCGAGAGATTCAGCTGGGTTCTAGGTGAGTCTCTCGAGAAACCAAGTTAGTTTGCAAATGAGTGTATATTCGCTGACTTCTTCGGGTATTTCTCTGGTCCATCTGAGTGCGTGTTTGAAGAGCCTAAACCTGAGAAACTACTTTGATAGGACAAGCATTAGTCAGTTCAAAAGATCCAGTAGCGCTAATGTATTTTTTCAAAAAAAAACAATACGCTGCATTGAACAACATTGTTTTGGCCACCATTGCCTCGTACCAAGGTATCTTATAAAGCATAATCACAGCATAGTTTTAAGAGGACGATTCAATAGGAAAAATGAAACAACTTACCCAGCAGTCCAGGCAGATGCAACAATTCCATCAGTTCTCCACACACAAAACCAAAAGCGTAGTAGATGATCACAGACAACGCTGCACCTCGACGGCATTCCAGAGCTTCCACGTAATTAGGATCAAGTGAATATCCTGGGCCTTCAGTCAGATCTGCGCTCTCGACTGCGATAGTCGTGGAGATGGTAGCTGTGCTGCCGTTTACTGTCTGCTTTTGATTGTCCTCGGGCACAGCAACTCGGCGACATATCGGGGGTAACGCCACGTTTGGCATGATGGATAGGATAGTGGAGTATACGGCGAGCACGAATAGTGCATATGTGGTCATTGCACTGAGATGTCGGTAGAGAAACATCAAGCCCCGAGTAAGCCACTGGGGTGGGCGAAGACGTCGAGGACACGTTCGACACCATTTTTTGCACGTAGAACACCATTTGGATGATGAAGAACGGCATTGAAGCGATTGCTGGTCTTCTATCTCATCTTCATCGTTGGAACGATTTTGTCCGTGTGGATCACACATCGGGTGGATTCTTTTTCTTAGGTGGCCTGGACCGACTTGGTGTAAGGCACCATCCTGTTGAGCGGTAGGAAGGCTTTTCGCTTCGGGTTGTGGGTAGTTTTGTTTGCGGAGGTCGTACAAAGGGAAGTGGGCTGAAGTTAAAGGGGCGAAAAAAGGGGGAGTCGATGACCTAGCTACCAATTAAGTTGCCGACGAACTTGGAAACGAAATAGCGTTGGATGCATCGTTTGCATCCCTCTTTTTCCCGCCATCTTCGTCGTTATCATCACTCTGCGTAGGTCAGTGTTCTGGTACGGAAACCGGCAACATTCTTAGGAGAAAACTAATCAGCTTTTCAGACATTGTGCTACCTCTGCTCGGTTTTCACCGGTTTGAAGTGGTTTATGGTTTGATATCCCAGTTATATGACTGCCTAGTACGAATACAAGAAGAGTAATATATCAAGAAAGAGGCCTTTCAACGTCTAACAACGTATCCAACTAAGATTTGGGAATGCAGGTCTAACGGTCAGAAGGGTGAGATAAAGACCAGGTGGGATCTTTTCTCCTTTTATTCGAAAGCAATATTGTCTCTGCTTGAAGCATTCGCCCTTGTAGTCCTCTTGGCAGAAATAATGGGCGTAGATGGGGTGACAGACAGTTAGACAGTCTCTTTGTGACTGTCTACGTTTGCGAAAGGTCACTGCATCCACGCTCGCAAACGATATGGACGACTTGGTGTCTTGAGCCTGAATCTAACCAGAGGAAACCGGAACAGGGCGGTGTTGTTCACACAGCGCTGAGCACTAATCAGTGTGGTTAGTGATTCCTCATTCAATAGGGTTATATGCACACACTTGTGAGTATTCTTTCCTTGAAGAGATTAGAAAGAAAAGGATGCCTACTTTCCCCTAATTCATCTTTTGTCCATATACAGCTAAACAAGCTTACCTAATTTCGTAATTCTTCTGATAGAGTAGTTTCTAAAAAAAGTTCAAAAACCTACTAGAACGACTGACTTTCCCATCCATGTTTCGATTGTTCGCACGTCAGTTTAACCACATCTGAGTTGAACTCATCGACAATTTTAAAACTAAGGATCTAATTCTTTCAAAAGCAAACAAGCAAACGCTTCAATTTAAGAATCCAGGACATATATAGCTCACAGTTAAAGATCACTTTCTTGCCCCACAGGGTCGGACATTTTCGCATGCTTTTAAACAACTTTGCGTGCCAAGCATTTTGATACCGAATTTCCCCACCCAAACACTAATTTCGTCACTAAATCGGCCAAAGCTGTACTTCCTCAGTGTTCCTCTGTTAGGGCTATCGGAAAAAGAGGGAAGACGACAGGGGAAGACTGATGTGAAAGAAATGAACAAGTGCGCTTCGACTCGTTGGCCTATTTGGAAGAGTAGAAACCCTGAGGGGAACAACATCTACTGACTGATGATCCACAAGCGCGTCTGCTATTCGCAGTCGCGCTCTCCTTGAAAAGGCATCACATGGTTTG